ATATATGTGTATAAGCAGAACAAATTTCACACTCATCTGCACTCAACAATTTACGCATCATTGAAATTAATATCCACCGTCGGTAATAATGAACGTGTTCATCCTTAGCGTCCGTATAAACACTACAGCAGAGTCTTTCGCAATCATCGGTAAAAATATTCAGTTTGTGGATAGAAACTTGAACATAAAAATAGCCTATTGTTACGGGTATGATAGACAGACAGACAGTTTCCTGTCTATCATTCAGCTGAGCAATTAGTAAAAGGTCCAATTCGCCTCGTGACCATGATAGACCAAACCACATCAAGCATCAATCCAATCGGATCGCATAGCTACAATGATTTCGCGCCATCCATAAGCAGGAAAATTTGCCAGCTGCATTTATAATTCATTGACAGTCACGTTGGTAACCATCCCCTCCCCTGTTTAATCGTTGATAGCACCTCAGCCGTGTTTCACTTATCATGGAATAACCATGAAAATGGAATGTAGATAAGGGAAAATTTATCGGTTTTCCTGAAGTGATATCTGTCTGCCTTACCCCAAAACGTGCATCGCATTTTGACGCGCAATCTATGGTATTGATTCGCTCAGCCTCGAATCTTTCCCCAGTATCGGAGAATGCTTTGCTTGTTATGGACCGTCAAACTGTTCATGTGTGTATGTCTCAGAATTTAGTAGGATCGTAATACACTGTGCGTTTCAGGTAAAACCTCAACTAATGATTAATAAAACTGTGTCTGCCTCCGTGCCTAGTCCATGCACTCGTTTTACACGTTCACTACTATTGCCACGGGGCAAATCAATGCCCGAATCAAAGCAATGTGTGTGTACACGTGTGTGTGTGTGTGTGTGTGTGTGTGTGTGTGCGTGCGTGCACTTGTTTCCCCTCCTCCCCCCAACCACCGCATCACATCATGCAACTTCGAACAATTGATCATAATCGCACACGATGTGACCTTTTCATGCCCCACAAACCGACGAAAGCATTCTCACATGATGAATCCTCGATGGGTCCGG